TGTGACAGGCAACAGGAACATGCCCAGAGCCTGGGCTACTCACAGCACAAGCAGCCCAGGTTCCACAGCAGGTGGAAGGAGCCTGCCCAGAGCCCGAGCTGCTTGCAGCAGGTGGCAGGGAGGCTGCAAGCCACTGCACTGGGTTCCAGACAGCAGCGGCTACATGCACACCTTGGGGAACATGGCAGGGAAAGGGCCGGGGCTGCGCTGCCACAAGAAGGCTCGAGCCTCTTCTGGCTCCCTTGCCATCCCTCCTGGCATGCCGACATCTTCCAAGTCGAGGTTGTGGGGGGTTTTGGGCACTCAGCCAAAAAACATTGCTGACTCCTGTTCTGGAGTTTCTGGGAATCCCAGAAGAAATCCTGACACCCTTGAAGACACTGGGTATATCTACATGTGCCCCCTGTGCAGTACTAAAGTAAATACTAAAGCAAGCACTAAAGCAAGTACTAAATGACTGTGCAGTAATAGCCTTTACTGTACCATCCCGGCAGCACACAGGTCATTTCTGACCCTACTGTACAGTAGCGTCAGCATCACGGTTTGTGCCCACTGATGCTATGTCACTATAGCAATAAACTAGTTGCCAAACCTTGTCAATAAGGCAATGTAGCATCTCATGTAGACACGCCCACTGAGTTTTGCCATTCACTTCAGTGAGGGATTTCAACAAGTGTCTGTAAAGCAACCAGCACAGTTTGGCACTTCAGGTTTTTCATATCTGAGGATGCTTGTAACTTAAAGATTCAGATCCTTTGTAATTAAATCATGACTAGACTGTCACTGACTGGCGTCAACACGGGCATAATATATGTTCTAGGCCCTTGCTATAATCTTTTAAGATTTTTTTACTTCTCCATTGATACTAGCAGGGAATGGCGACAATAATGATACACCTATGCTTAATGTGTGCACCCATGGTAGGGCTGACAAAATACCTCAACAAATTTGTCCTTTAGGATTTGCTAAGTTATGGGGGGGTGGAGAGGAAGCAAATTTTTTTCCTTGGGTTCCCATCCCCTTTGTATTTGGTAAATGTTCTAGCAAGCATATTCACTAACAGGATATTCATTCATTAACCAAATGCTAAAGAATATTTGAAGGTAGCAAAATTTCAACTTGTGAATGGAGCAGTTTACACTGAAGCCAGGTATTAAACATTATGCCCATCTAAACAGGAGGTAGACCTGGACTGTCTAAGCAGCATGTCCAGTCAATATTCCAGTCGCTGTTTCACAGCACAGAGTATTGGCCACAATACTGCAGTAGCATGGGTACACTGCATCTGGTTTGGGAGCTTGATATAGACTATGACATGTCAGACATGCCATTCCAGTCTAGCCCTAAAAAAAATAAAAATCACCTGTGAAAGAGCTTTTTTTAAGGATTCACCTCTCTTCTTTTTTTATTAAAGCTAAGCATACACAAGGGCTCTCTGAGCTACATCCTGCTTGGTACAGTGGCATAGGTTAGAGCAATGGTGCTCATCCCTTTTGGCCAGTGGGCTGGATGAGCAGTGCCTGATTCCTTTGCAGACTAGATCTGGTGGAGACCCATCTAGCTGTGTGGAGGAGGGAGGAAAACACCCTGGCCCCAATCCAGTCATGCTGTGAAAGGGGGCTTGGGCCAGCCTCAACCTGGCTCTGCAGGGAGGAGGAGCTGTAACATGACCCCAATCCAGCCCTCTGTGTGGGGAAGGGAGGCGGCCTGGTCTCATGGGAGGAAGGAGGCATGGCCCAGCCCCAACCTGGCCAGGCAGAGGGATGGGGGCATGGCCCAGCACTGCGGGCAGGAGGAGCATGGCCTGGCCCCCAGTCAACCACGCAGGTGAAGGAGGCATGGCCCAGCCCTGTGAGGAGAAAGGGGCGCAGCACAGTCCTAACTTGGCAGGTTGAAAGGAAAAAGTGCGGCCTGGCTCCAATCTGGCCATGCAGGGGGGAAGGGTCACGGCCCTGCTCAGACCCACCCTGTGGCACATGGGATTTTGGCAGCAGGGAGAGTGACAGTACTGCCACTGCTCCCACCACCAAATTTCCCAACCGATGGGGAGTTCTGTGGGCTGCATTTGGCCCACGAACAGGGGTTGTGCACTGCTGAGCTAAAGTATTTTTGTACAGAACCCTAAAATGTAACAGTAGTGAACGTGAAGACAGTGCAAGGAAATCCAAAGGTACGTTAATGAATACTGCTTCATACCTGTCATGCATGAGTGCAATGCTATTCTCCTGTTCTTTCAGTTCCAGTCAATCACAATCTAACTACAGATTTGTGTCATGAAAATGCAAGAAAACAAACAAAAAAGTCAAGCTAAGGAAGTGGGTATTTCGTTGTTTGATTCTCTTTGTTAACTCCAGAGTTTGCAAATACCAAAGTTGTCCCACACCTAAGCAGCACAATTGTCTTTGTACATTCTTTTAATGCTGTTCTTCACGACATATCCTTAGTTAAGATTAAGAGCATGACTATCAGACAAATGTGAGCTTTGAAGGGCTTTTTGCCAAGAAAACAAACTCTTTGCTGTAGCTCTACAAAAGGCAGTGTGATCTAGTATGTGTTCCAGCATTTATGGATATAGTTTTTAAAACACATAGAGATAACTGGTAGCTATAATTTCAAGCAGGTAAACAGAGCAAATGAATGTGAGTTGTTTGATCATTTTTAGAGATTCAGCTCAGACATGAAGGCCAGATCCAAATCCAAATTTTCCTGAAGTCCAGTGGGAGTTTATATATAGGATTCCAGTCTGGGCTCATTCCTAATTTTTCTGTTGTCCGACATATAGAGATTTAGCATTCTGTTCTGGATTTAGTTTTGCTGTGTGTGTTCTAGTAATTAATTCCTGGATGATCAAAAACTGATAACCTGGTGGCAATATATTGCTCTTAAGAAGATGTAACCATTAGATTTTTACCACTAGTAAAGGCAGTCAAAATGCCAGGTAAGAGTTCTGCAAGAAGATGAACAGTATTGCTCATTCTAATCTCTGCCACAGACTTTTCTTTAGCTTCAGTGCCAGAAATGGTATGTTACTCCTTCTGAACCTTGGTTAAAGGCCAGTCAGGAATAAATGCCTCTCTCTGGTACCTAAGGAAGCTTCACTACCAGTTCCAGCACATTGCAAATCAAGAGGCAAGATTCCAGCTTTAAGCATTTGACTTCAAAGTTTGCCTGCATAGTTTCACCCTACAGTACGACACAACCCAAAGTAATCCTAGCACAGGTGCAGAAAATCAATCTTTGTTCATAAATGTTCCTTCCCTCTTCCCACCCACAGAGCAATAAGCATCAGTCACTTTGCAAAAGAGATTCGTTAACTTGATCATGAACCCCTGACTGTCTGTAGAATATTTTGTGGCTTCCAGGGAGCTGCAGGTCACATGGTTCTGGCTCCTCTGCCTTGTTTCCAGCTGCTTATTTCAAAGGACGGCATATGTAAGAGGAGGTGAAGAAGAAAGACTATTTGCTCAGGACCAGAGCCACCAGTTGGACTGAGGCTGCCACTGGAAGAGGAGACAGGAGCCATCAGTAAAACAGAAGGCAATGTCTATAGGAGATGGAAAACCAGCAGACAGTCGGCATGTGCAGGGAAGGTGAGAGGAACAAGCCAGCAGGGTAGAAGAGGCAAAAAAGTGGAGAATGGCCCAGCAAGGAAAGAAACGTGCAAACAAACCGAAGAAGAGAAAATAAAGAAGGGATGGGAGGGTAGAGGGAGATGAAGAACAAGAGATGAGGATGTCACTAATTTTTTTCAATTACAATCATTTCATAGCACTAGCAGTGAAATGCAGAAGTGCTTTCCTGTAATGACTTTGTGGGCATGCAGTAATGGCTATTGTACAAGGATGTTGCATGACTGCAGGTGGGATCATGACTGGGGCAGGCCTTACAAGGCAGCCTGTCTATTAAAATGTGGTCCTGCTCTACAATCATTGAAAGGAGTGCAACAACTCCTTGGAGTGCCATCTTATATGCCCAAGGCAAAAAGATAGCATAGACAACAGCTTATATACATTGTTGAAGGGTAATTAATACTTATGATATCATTACTCTGACAATTTTACCAATATTAGTGGAATCCTAGATTATTTGCAGCACAATTACCCATCATGCTTAGAAAGTAGAGAAAAAGGGGGCATATGTTCACTAGTCCAAAATCTTTGAAGCCAGAGAACAGACCAGATAAAAGAAGGCATGGATTCCCTTGCGGAAGATGCAGTCTTTTCTTTATTAATCCTTTATTTCTTATTTATGAACTTTGGATAGTATCCAAAATTCAAAAATAACCAGCAATAGAATATCCATACATAATATCAGATCATCAGAGAAGATAAAGTGAAACATGGGACACAAAACAATTTTGTCAATTAAATGATTCACTCAGTTCTAGAACCCGGTTCTGAAAGTTAATTAAGGCACAGGAAATTAACATTGCACATTGTCTCTACCATATATGTCCTTTTAATTTTACTAGTCCCCATAACCTAGTCCAGATACCCCCAAGCACAACAGGCATTTTCCCACAAATGTTGTTAATGTCAGCAAGATCCAAACAAATCTCCTTTAAATTCTTAAACCAAATTGAGCCAAATTCTGATACAATTTATTTCATGGGTTTCATGAAAGATAATTGAGAATTGAGGTTGATTCTGTTTGTTTTCCAAGGAACCACTCTTAAGTTATTTAATTCTGTGAAAATCTCTCCAATACCTGGATTACTTTCTGTGGATTTATTTCCTAACATAATTATATTTTCTCAATTTGCAATCACATTCTTATTAGTAAAGAGAACTAAAAAGAATTTTCAAGTCTGTACGCTCTGTAATTTAGGAATGTTCAAATTCAGGTTTGAATTCTTTAGCTCAAGTCTGTCTCTGCTTCTTATCAATCTTTCCAGGGCTAGGCACAGACAGTCAAAAAGTCTGAGGCTGAATCGATTTAGTCTTTGGGGGTTAGTCTAAAATGCACAGATTAAATTGAAACAGAACTGAACAGACATGTACCTTTGATTCAGGAAATGCAGCCACATGCCTGCAGTTGCTCAGGCCAGAAGCTAGGGGTGGTGGTGCTAGAGCACAGCTCTCTGGCTGTGTTTTCATTTCCTCTTCCTGCTGCCCCCAAGGTCTCTGGGACTTGCAGTTCAGAATTACAGCAGCAGCACTCTGCAGGGTTGCTCATCACTTCCTCTTCCTGCTTCCAGGTATCTCTGGGATTTGTAGTCCACAGTTGCAGCCAGTAGTATGTTTGAGCTGGGGAAGGGTTGTTTAACCCTCTTCCCTGGTCCCAGACCCCAGCTGGGGTTTGCCGGGGGGCAGTTCCCCCACCCCCCCTATAGACTGAGTTGCATCCCCAGCTGGGCTTGTTCCCCCACCCCCTTGTTGGCCAGCCCTTACTGCTCTGGCTAGGGAACAGAGAGGCAAGGCCAGCCCTGCTTTCTGGAGCAGGCAGCACAGCCCAGTCCAGGGTTGGAAAGCATGCTGGGATGCCGGGGGACTGTGATTTAACTTGACCCAGGAAGGGGTCTGGGACAGAAGTTTCATAAACCAGTTTGACTCAAATCAGTTAAGTCTGATACTATATTCAACCAGGTTTGTCTTCGTTTTTTGAAACTGGTTTATGTGCATTGAGCTTCTGTTGTGTTACAGGTTTAAACCAGTTTCTGATCACTTAAACCGGTTTATGTGTAACTTCTGTGCCCAAATGTATTGTCAGTTTCAGGGAGTCTTGAATCCAGTTCAACCTCTTGTAAAGCTTCTCATTGCCTCTATTTATTTCATAAATCTGTAATTGTTCATACCATCTGAAGCACAATACAGTGTGGCTATGCTTGGTCTTTCTAAAGGTGACCATTGAAAATGAAAAGCTTTCAGCTGAATTGACAGGCATTTCCAGTGCCAAATTACTGCCACACGTGGCAGATAATCCATGTACAAGATTTGACAATGGATCAGCAAGTACTGGACCATCGCAAGTAAAATGCACTTAAACCTTAGTGATGAAAAAGCCAGAATGCCTTATATTGCTCAGTGATTAACTCTCCCAGCTGACGTAGGAAAAATGGAGAGACTCTGGAGGGAGTTGTGTTCTTGCTAATGCCCCTTGACAGTAGAGAGATGGTAGGACTAATAAAAAAACAAGAGAACAGCATGTGAAATTTACTGCTGATAGTAATGGCAGAATTTGTGCCTGTCTTGAATATATGCAAATAACCTCCTCCTAGAAAATACACAAGACTCTGAGTAACAGGAACATCACCAGCTATCCCTAAATTCACAATTCTTCTCATTTCCAACAATCAAAAATATCCCTTCTGTCACAAAACGCCTCTTACCCATGCATGCACACATCCCCATGCCATGACCAGTGGGGTCCCCCAACACTCCATCCTTGGACCTATCCTTTTCAACATCTTCATTAATGATGTGGACATTGGTGTCAGGAGCAGACTGGCCAAGTTCACTGATAACACCAAACTTTGGGGTAAAGCGTCCACACCTGAGGACAGGATGGTGATCCAGGCCGACCTTGACAGGCTCGGAAAATGGGTGGATGAAAACCTGATGGCCTTCAACACTGAAAAATGCAAGGTTCTCCACCTTGGGAAGAAAAACCCACAGCCTGCTTATAGGCTCGGCAGTGCTACACTTGCTAGCACCATGGCCAAAAGGGACTTGGGGGTCATGACTGACCACAAAATGAATATGAGCCACCAATGTAATGTTGCAACCAGCAAAGCAAGCAAAACTCTGGTTTGCATCCATAGATGCTTCTCTAGCAAATCCCAGGATGTCATCCTCCCACTGCACTTGGCCTTGGTGAGACTGCAGCTGGAGTACTGTATCCAGTTCTGGGCTCCACACTTTAAAAAGGATGTGGAGAAGCTTGAGAGAGTCCAGAGGAGAGCCACGCACATGATCAGAAGGCACGAAAGCAGGCTTTATGATGAGAGGCTGAGAGCTACGGGACTCTTCAGCCTGGAAAAGCGCAGGCTCAGGGGGGACCTGGTGGCTGCCTATAAGTATATAAGGAGTGTACATCAGGATCTCAGGGAATGCTTGTTCACCAGAGCACCCCATGGGATGACAAGATCAAACGGTCACAAACTTCTCCAAGACCATTTCAGTCTGGACATAAGAAAGAACTTCTTTACTGTCCAAGCCCCCAAGGCCCGGAACAGACTGTCACCAGGTCTGGATTCCTTTAAGAGTCAATTGGACGTTTTATCTTATTGGGATCCTGTGGCCCAGCTGACTTCCTACCCCAAGGTCCCTTCCAGCCCTAATGTCTATGAAAATCTTTGAAAGAGTTTCTACTACCATCCCATATACAGTTTTACAGTCTTGATGGTCAGTAGGGTAGGGTTAAAACTGAAAGTCAGGGAAGAGTGGAGCCAGGGACAAAGTGAACTCTATGTTCTACTCAATAGCCCATGATTATTTTTTCACCTTTGCTTTTGATGAAGAGTAAAAATGTGTGAATTTGGTTAGAATGGAAATATCTATTGACAAAGAAATAAATGCATGTTAAGGGGCTCATTTCCAAAGAAGTGTTAAGACCAACTTCTTAAGAATTTCAGAAGAAAGCAGATCCCATTTAGGCACCTAATAAGTTAGATTTTCAAGAGTGTTCAGCACCCAGAAACTGCTGGGTCATTGGCTACAGACAGAGAATACCCAGAACCAGTCAGGCATGTAGTGTGAGCAGGTGGCATAAAGCTCATTTTTGTACCTTCCTTAAGGGTGCTGTGGTCCCCAGCGTAACCTAGAGCAGCCTCAATGACAGGTTACTTACTGAGTACATAAAGAGCTATTGGAAGTGTCTGTTTCTCCATATGGCTGCAGATAAAGTGTCCATCTGGTGGAAAAAGCCACAAGTCTTCAGTTCAAATGTTTTTGATTACTATCCTGTAGGTACCACCTGGCAAACAATGAGATTAGAAGAGTGTGTTGAGTTCCTCATAGTTCACCATGACTGTACCCTGTTTTTAGGGACCAACAGTAACACAAATGATTGGTTTTGATATTGTTCTAGTTCTCTAGCTCAAGAACTGGGATAAGTTTTCAATGCTCTGATATTTTAAATGTATTCAAAAAGTAAAAAGGATAAAATTTTAAATTACTGCCCAAGCTGAAAAAACCCCCCACAGCAACAATAGCTGTTCCCAGAGGCATTTTGGCTTCACAAATTTAGCAGAAATGGAACCCAACCAATAGCTCCAAAAAACCTCAGAACCTGAGTATATGCAGGAGTCACTTAATCAGCATCCTGGCACTGCCTTAAACAAGGAATAATGTAGCTGCTTCTTTGGGGGGGGAGGGGTAAAAATTCCGTTTGGAGTTGGGGTTTTCATGTTTTAACTTCACATAATTTAGGGGTTGTCAATTGATTTGTTCAGTGTTTGGGGAGTATTTTTCTATTTTGATTTCTAGGTTTTGTTGGATAAAAGAGGACTTCACTGTTGTCAATATTATCCTGATGAGAAAAAGGCTTTTTCAGAGAGGAAGGTTCAGGGTCCATTCATGACATTTGTAAACAAGATATTACCCTAAGCTTTGATGTAGCTTCTCAGCAATCTACCTACCCCTTCAGTTTTCTTTCTGTTACTGTTTTTTTTCTTTTAATCTGGCCAAAGAACAGCTGAAAATGAACCAGTTAAACACAGGAAAAAACACCTTGCCTGATATTGCTAAATAACACAAACCATTATATAAATAAAGTCTAGTGGTTCTCAAACTCATTAGACTCAAGGGACCCCTTGTTAGACTCAAGCACCTTCAGCAAATGCTCACTCTTAGTTTTCACATGACTACAAAAAATAATAGATCAATTCTTCTGTTGCAAAGAACACAGGAAAGACCACAGTAGGGCAGAACGTTTTGACTCTAAGATTTCTATTTGAAATTTCTGGATTTATGAGGTGGATGAGGCTTTCTTCGAACAGCTAGCACAGTTTTCCAATCATAGGCCCTGCTTCCCATGGGCAACTTCAATCACTCTGATCTCAGTCCCTGGAAAAATCATGGAACCAAGTCCTCAAGGAATCAATTTCTAAGTAGTTGGAGGGGAAGAATGTGATTAGGAAAAGTAAGCATTGATTCACCAAGGGTAAATCATGCCTGACCAACTTGATTGCCTTCTATGATGAGATGAGTGGCTTTGTAGATGCAGGAGGAGTGGTGGATGATATACCTTGACTTTAGCAAGGCTTTTGATACAGTCTCCCACAACATTCTCGCAAGCAAGCTAAAGAAATATAGGTTGGATGAATGGACTGTAAGATGGATAGAAAACTGGCTGGATCATGAGGCTCAGGGGTTAGTAGGCAATGTCTAGTTGGCAGCTGGTATCAAATGGAGTACTCCCAGGGTTGGTCTTAGGGATGGTTTTGTTCAACATCTTCATCAACAACCTGGAAGATGGGATGGAGTACATGCTCAGCAAGTTTGCAGGTGACACCAAGCTGGGTGGGAAAGTAGGGAAGTAGTGGATACACTGGGAGGTAGGGCTAGGATTCAGAAAGACCTTGACAAATTGGAAGATTGGGTCAAAAGAAATCTCATGAAGTTCAATAAGGAGAAGTGCAAAGTCCTGCACTTGGGACAGAACAATCCCATGCACTGGTACAGGCTGGGGACCAACAAGTTAAGCAGCAGCTCTGCAGAAAAGCACCTGTGGGTTCAAGTGGACAATAAGCTGAATATGAGCTAACAGTGTGCTGTTGTTGCAAAGAAGGCTAATGGCATACTGGGCTTCATTAGTAGGAGCATTGCCAGCAGATCAAGGCAAGTGGTTATTCCCCTCTATTCAGCACTGATGAGGCCACATCTGGAGTACTGTGTATAGTTTTGCCCGCCCCCCCCCACACACACAGAAAGGAAGTGAACAAATTAGAGAGAGTCCAGCAGATGGCAATGAAAATGGTTAGGGGGCTGGGTGCACTTCTGATGAAATGCTAAGGGAACTGGGTTTATTTAGCCTAGAGAAAAGAAAACTCAGGTGGGATTTAATAGCAACCTTCGACTAC